AGGAGGGGGGTAGGTGGGGGGGTGGATGCAGGGACAGATGCTCTGAATCTCCCTCGCCAGGTAAACAGGATTTTTTATAACTGAGGTATAACTGACATAACGTTACGTTAGCTTCAATTACACAACACAGTGACTCGGTATTTATGTGTACCGTGAGATGACCACCCAAGTCTAGGCGACACCCATCACCACACATCGTCCCAAACTGTTTTGTGATGACGACTTTTAATAAATATCTACTCTCAGCAACTTTCAACTGGGAGACAGCATCGAGTACAGCCGCCATGCTGCGCACCGTGTCCCTAGTACTTACGTGTCCGTGTGGACCCTTCCCTGCCCCAGGCTGCCATTCTGACAACCTCCAAGCACACTGCATGGACAAGAGATGCCACCCTCTAACAGTGCTGCTACGGGAGCGATCAAGACTTAAACATTTCAGACAATGAAAAATTCAATTTTAAAGAGGCACTATTTATAGTAGCAGCGAAACATGACACTAAGAATAAATCTAGCCCTGGCCAGTTCTGCCCAGTGGTTGGAGCATCAGCCCACAGACTGGAGGGTCCCAGGTTCGATCCCATCCAAGGGCATGTACCTCGGCTGCAGGTCTGACCCCCAGCCCCGCTCAGGGCACATGCGGGAGGCAACAAGTTGATGTGTGTCTTTCACATCAATGTCTCTCCCTCTCCCCCCCTTCCACTCTCTCTGAAAAGCAGTGGAAAACACACCCTCTGGTGAGGATTAAAATAAATAAATAAATAGACCTAATAAAACATACGCAAGACCTTTTATGGAGCCAACTTTAAAACTTCACGGAAAGGCATTAAAAGTGGCCTGAAATGGGGCATTCGCATGTTCACGAAAGTGCAGACTGAACTTCATAAAGATGAAATTCTCGCACCCCGCCCTACAGATCCTGTGCAGTCCCGACCCGAAATCAGACAGACTCGAGCAAACAGGAAAACGCCGGCCACCTGACCCTGAGGCCTCAGGCTGCACGCCCCGGGCGGAGGGTCCCGAGACCTGACGCTAGCGGTGTGGCACTGAGGGAGGGCCGCTCGAGCCCTGGGGGAGCAGAGGGCACGCAGACAGCCCTGCAAGTGTAAAACGTGCGGACACGGGGGACAGCCAGCGATGCGGGGCCTAGGGTGACTGGGAGGAGGCTGAACCGCACCCCTCCCGCAGTTATCAGTCAGAGGTGTCCGGACAAGGAGGTGTGAGGGACAGTGTCAGGACTCCGAGACGAAACAAGGAAGAGAGGCTGGCCCACGGTGGGGCACAGGTAANGGCCCTGCAAGTGTAAAACGTGCAGACACGGGGGACAGCCAGCGATGCAGGGCCCAGGGTGACTGGGAGGAGGCTGAACCGCACCCCTCCCGCAGTTATCAGTCAGAGGTGTCCGGACACGGAGGTGTGAGGGACAGCGTCAGGACTCCGAGACGAAACAAGGAAGAGAGGCTGGCCCACGGTGGGGCACAGGTAAAGGTCCTTCCGCAACGCGCCCGATGCCCAGCACAGGAGACGACAGGTGAACGGAACTAACACCAACACCTCTGATCACCGACAACCGAGGAGAAAGGGGGTGCACGCAGCTGATAAACTCTGAGAATCCCTAACACAGAAAGATCAGCATCCGATACAAATTAGATCAACACCACAGAGGAAAATGGGCCAAAGACATGAAAGATCACAAACACAAAGCTTGGGGGGCTGGCTCCAGGCGAGGGCCGAGGGCACCAAGCAGCCTCAGCACCGGCGTCAGACCCAAGCATGGTCTGGGTCCTGACTGCGGGCGGGTTCGGGGGGAGGACGCATGCGCCNAGGGGGGAGGGCGCATGCGCCCCACACAGGGCCCACGTTCCGTTGCAGGCATCAGGATCACACAATCACGCTCCTCAGAACAAAAGCGATTTCCGCCAGCGATACTGCACGCACCTGCCCGCGGGNGGGGGGAGGACGCATGCGCCCCACGGAGGGCCCACGTTCCGTTGCAGGCATCAGGATCACACAATCACGCTCCTCAGAACAAAAGCGATTTCCGCCAGCGATACTGCACGCACCTGCCCGCGGGGACAGCACCTGCCCTGCCCCCCGCCTTATGGGGAACATGGGCATCAGCGCCCCAGCGAAGGCAGCCGCCCTGGCAGACACTCCCTCCCGGGGGCCACGCTTACCTCCGTCACTCTGGGCTGAAGTGTGAGCGCCTCCGGACTCATCCGAGGGATGTCTATGTGGATCTGCAGGTGGAGGAGAGAGACCGAGGCTGACAGCACTCCACAGGTTACGATGAAAACGGCAACACAGTGGCGACAAGGAGCGACTCTAGGGCGAGGCCTGCGCTGGGACACTGACTGGCCTCCTCTGAGCGCCCTGGGCCAGGCGGGCCGAGCGGGGCCCCAAGTCCTAGCGTGACAGGCTGGCCGGCACTCGCTACCAAGCGGTGGCTGCCGCGTGACATGGAGCCGAGCAGGCCCTCAGCTATTTAGCGGCACAGTCCACAGCAATTAGCAAACATTGATTCCAGCCTGACGCGGGCAGGTCAAGTGCATCAACAGTGCACAGTTCTCGGCCGTGCCAGCGCCTTCTCGGAGCCCAGCCACTCTCCTCCACTGCACACGTCCCCAGGGGCCAGGGCACTTTCACAGGCAGCGCTCAGAGCTCTGCCTGACAGGCAAGTCGTAATCAAGTTCCCCACGAGGCCCAGATGCACACATGTGGGCTTCAGGAGCTGCCAAAATAGCGCCCAGGCCCGGCGCTGGCACCACGCTGGCTCCCGGCACCCACGGGAATGGCCCACACTGGCCCATGCCGTCCCCACCCCACCACCCAGGGAAACAGCCCAAGAACTCACGTAACTTACAGGAACTGCTCACCCACCACAGGTGAGCCTGGCTGTGGACCTTTTAACACCTACACCAAACTGACAGGTAAGTGTGCACAGTCCCCGCCTGGGTGGGAAATCCGGACAAGTTCCCTCAGCTAGAGGGCAGGTTTCCACAAGGAAATGCCCAGCACAGACGTGTCAGGAGAGGCAGTTCACTCAGAAACCCGGGGTTGTGCGACCAACAAGAACCGAGTTTGGTCTGTGTGCAGCACGAGCCACGGTGGACTCCGACATCTCACGAGGGTGAGGCCTCCAACGTCCCAGGGAGCCCTGCTAACAGCAAACTCTGGGCACGGTGCGAATCATGAACCAACCGTCTGCTTTCAGGTTCAGTGATCCACTAGAAAATACAGGTCTGTGACCCAGCAGGGACGTGAGATAAAACACCTCCTCCACGACCCCCAAGGCACAGCCCTCCGAGCGACACACGGAGAGGAAGGGCCCCACCTGTCTGTAGGTGTCCTGGTGAGCCTCGTCGTTCCGGGAATCGTAGTAGTGCTCAATGAAAGCGAAGTACTCCTTCTGCTTCCTCTGTAGGGTGGCCGGTCTCCGGTCGACGTTGGCAGGAAGGTAGCCCTGGGTGAGGGAAACACACACGAAGATAAGTGTGGTTAATGCTAATTTGGAGTCTCCCTGAGATGATTGAAGGAAGGCTCATGTCTCAAATGACAGGGAGAACAGATGAGTGGTGGAAAAGAGACACAGACATACAGACAGAGCAGCGGGCCACACGGCAGCCCCTGGCCCTGGGCTGAGCTGTTCAAACCCTCGCAGCTGGAGGTGTCAGACCAGACCCCAGGGCAGCTCGTGCTCACCCCTCATCTAAAGCAGGGCTCAGAAATGAAACCACGTCCTCTCCACACACCTTGCACACNCCAGGTTCGATCCCATCCAAGGGCATGTACCTCGGCTGCAGGTCTGACCCCCAGCCCCGCTCAGGGCACATGCGGGAGGCAACAAGTTGATGTGTGTCTTTCACATCAATGTCTCTCCCTCTCCCCCCCTTCCACTCTCTCTGAAAAGCAGTGGAAAACACACCCTGTGGTGAGGATTAAAATAAATAAATAAATAGACCTAATAAAACATACGCAAGACCTTTTATGGAGCCAACTTTAAAACTTCACGGAAAGGCATTAAAAGTGGCCTGAAATGGGGCATTCGCATGTTCACGAAAGTGCAGACTGAACTTCATAAAGATGAAATTCTCGCACCCCGCCCTACAGATCCTTTGCAGCCCCGACCCGAAATCAGACAGACTCGAGCAAACAGGAAAACGCCGGCCACCTGACCCTGAGGCCTCAGGCTGCACGCCCCGGGCGGAGGGTCCCGAGACCTGACGCTAGCGGTGTGGCACTGAGGGAGGGCCGCTCGAGCCCTGGGGGAGCAGAGGGCACGCAGACAGCCCTGCAAGTGTAAAACGTGCGGACACGGGGGACAGCCAGCGATGCGGGGCCTAGGGTGACTGGGAGGAGGCTGAACCGCACCCCTCCCGCAGTTATCAGTCAGAGGTGTCCGGACAAGGAGGTGTGAGGGACAGTGTCAGGACTCCGAGACGAAACAAGGAAGAGAGGCTGGCCCACGGTGGGGCACAGGTAAAGGTCCTTCCGCAACGCGCCCGATGCCCAGCACAGGAGACGACAGGTGAACGGAACTAACACCAACACCTCTGATCACCGACAACCGAGGAGAAAGGGGGTGCACGCAGCTGATAAACTCTGAGAATCCCTAACACAGAAAGATCAGCATCCGATACAAATTAGATCAACACCACAGAGGAAAATGGGCCAAAGACATGAAAGATCACAAACACAAAGCTTGGGGGGCTGGCTCCAGGCGAGGGCCGAGGGCACCAAGCAGCCTCAGCACCGGCGTCAGACCCAAGCATGGTCTGGGTCCTGACTGCGGGCGGGTTCAGGGGGGAGGGCGCATGCGCCCCACACAGGGCCCACGTTCCGTTGCAGGCATCAGGATCACACAATCACGCTCCTCAGAACAAAAGCGATTTCCGCCAGCGATACTGCACGCACCTGCCCGCGGGGACAGCACCTGCCCTGCCCCCCGCCTTATGGGGAACATGGGCATCAGCGCCCCAGCGAAGGCAGCCGCCCTGGCAGACACTCCCTCCCGGGGGCCACGCTTACCTCCGTCACTCTGGGCTGAAGTGTGAGCGCCTCCGGACTCATCCGAGGGATGTCTATGTGGATCTGCAGGTGGAGGAGAGAGACCGAGGCTGACAGCACTCCACAGGTTACGATGAAAACGGCAACACAGTGGCGACAAGGAGCGACTCTAGGGCGAGGCCTGCGCTGGGACACTGACTGGCCTCCTCTGAGCGCCCTGGGCCAGGCGGGCCGAGCGGGGCCCCAAGTCCTAGCGTGACAGGCTGGCCGGCACTCGCTACCAAGCGGTGGCTGCCGCGTGACATGGAGCCGAGCAGGCCCTCAGCTATTTAGCGGCACAGTCCACAGCAATTAGCAAACATTGATTCCAGCCTGACGCGGGCAGGTCAAGTGCATCAACAGTGCACAGTTCTCGGCCGTGCCAGCGCCTTCTCGGAGCCCAGCCACTCTCCTCCACTGCACACGTCCCCAGGGGCCAGGGCACTTTCACAGGCAGCGCTCAGAGCTCTGCCTGACAGGCAAGTCGTAATCAAGTTCCCCACGAGGCCCAGATGCACACATGTGGGCTTCAGGAGCTGCCAAAATAGCGCCCAGGCCCGGCGCTGGCACCACGCTGGCTCCCGGCACCCACGGGAATGGCCCACACTGGCCCATGCCGTCCCCACCCCACCACCCAGGGAAACAGCCCAAGAACTCACGTAACTTACAGGAACTGCTCACCCACCACAGGTGAGCCTGGCTGTGGACCTTTTAACACCTACACCAAACTGACAGGTAAGTGTGCACAGTCCCCGCCTGGGTGGGAAATCCGGACAAGTTCCCTCAGCTAGAGGGCAGGTTTCCACAAGGAAATGCCCAGCACAGACGTGTCAGGAGAGGCAGTTCACTCAGAAACCCGGGGTTGTGCGACCAACAAGAACCGAGTTTGGTCTGNGGCACAGTCCACAGCAATTAGCAAACATTGATTCCAGCCTGACGCGGGCAGGTCAAGTGCATCAACAGTGCACAGTTCTCGGCCGTGCCAGCGCCTTCTCGGAGCCCAGCCACTCTCCTCCACTGCACATGTCCCTGGGGGCCAGGGCACTTTCACAGGCAGCGCTCAGAGCTCTGCCTGACAGGCAAGTCGTAATCAAGTTCCCCACGAGGCCCAGATGCACACGTGTGGGCTTCAGGAGCTGCCAAAATAGCGCCCAGGCCCGGCGCTGGCACCACGCTGGCTCCCGGCACCCACGGGAATGGCCCACACTGGCCCATGCCGTCCCCACCCCACCACCCAAGGAAACAGCCCAAGAACTCACGTAACTTACAGGACCTGCTCACCCACCACAGGTGAGCCTGGCTATGGACCTTTTAACACCTACACCAAACTGACAGGTAAGTGTGCACAGTCCCCGCCTGGGTGGGAAATCCGGACAAGTTCCCTCAGCTAGAGGGCAGGTTTCCACAAGGAAATGCCCAGCACAGACGTGTCAGGAGAGGCAGTTCACTCAGAAACCCGGGGTTGTGCGACCAACAAGAACCGAGTTTGGTCTGCGTGCAGCACGAGCCACTGTGGACTCCGACATCTCACAAGGAGGGTTAGGCCTCCAACGTCCCAGGGAGCCCTGCTAACAGCAAACTCTGGGCACGGTGCGAATCATGAACCAACCGTCTGCTTTCAGGTTCAGTGATCCACTAGAAAATACAGGTCTGTGACCCAGCAGGGACGTGAGATAAAACACCTCCTCCACGACCCCCAAGGCACAGCCCTCCGAGCGACACACGGAGAGGAAGGGCCCCACCNAAGTCGTAATCAAGTTCCCCACGAGGCCCAGATGCACACATGTGGGCTTCAGGAGCTGCCAAAATAGCGCCCAGGCCCGGCGCTGGCACCACGCTGGCTCCCGGCACCCACGGGAATGGCCCACACTGGCCCATGCCGTCCCCACCCCACCACCCAAGGAAACAGCCCAAGAACTCACGTAACTTACAGGAACTGCTCACCCACCACAGGTGAGCCTGGCTGTGGACCTTTTAACACCTACACCAAACTGACAGGTAAGTGTGCACAGTCCCCGCCTGGGTGGGAAATCCGGACAAGTTCCCTCAGCTAGAGGGCAGGTTTCCACAAGGAAATGCCCAGCACAGACGTGTCAGGTGAGGCAGTTCACTCAGAAACCCGGGGTTGTGCGACCAACAAGAACCGAGTTTGGTCTGTGTGCAGCACGAGCCACGGTGGACTCCGACATCTCACGAGGGTGAGGCCTCCAACGTCCCAGGGAGCCCTGCTAACAGCAAACTCTGGGCACGGTGCGAATCATGAACCAACCGTCTGCTTTCAGGTTCAGTGATCCACTAGAAAATACAGGTCTGTGACCCAGCAGGGACGTGAGATAAAACACCTCCTCCACGACCCCCAAGGCACAGCCCTCCGAGCGACACACGGAGAGGAAGGGCCCCACCTGTCTGTAGGTGTCCTGGTGAGCCTCGTCGTTCCGGGAATCGTAGTAGTGCTCANGTCGTTCCGGGAATCGTAATAGTGCTCAATGAAAGCGAAGTACTCCTTCTGCTTCCTCTGTAGGGTGGCCGGTCTCCGGTCGACGTTGGCAGGAAGGTAGCCCTGGGTGAGGGAAACATACACGAAGATAAGTGTGGTTAATGCTAATTTGGAGTCTCCCTGAGATGATTGAAGGAAGGCTCATGTCTCAAATGACAGGGAGAACAGATGAGTGGTGGAAAAGAGACACAGACATACAGACAGAGCAGCGGGCCACACGGCAGCCCCTGGCCCTGGGCTGAGCTGTTCAAACCCTCGCAGCTGGAGGTGTCAGACCAGACCCCAGGGCAGCTCGTGCTCACCCCTCATCTAAAGCAGGGCTCAGAAATGAAACCACGTCCTCTCCACACACCTTGCACACAAAGAATGAGAAGTCCTTAAGGCTGTGCACGCAGCTACACATGTGCCTTCCGTCTGATGCTTAAACTCAGCGTTCACCTGGAAAATTCACTCACTTGGTGACACAGAATGGTAGTTAACTGTCACTGTGGCAGAGTATGGCCACGTACAAGACCCAGCGGCCATTGGGGCTGTCAGAAGTTTGACCACAAATATCCCATCCTGCCTTTTACGGCACCTGGGGTGCATTTCACTGCGTGCACACCTGGGCGTGGTATGCACACACACCTTGATAAAGAACTTTCCACAGAGACACTCCCGCGGCAAGTGTCTGAGTGCCTGCATCCTACATCCTGTCAGCACTTGGCATTGTCGGGCTTTTTCATTTTAGCCATCCTGAGAGCTCTGCAGTGGTGTCTACTAGAACGTGGTCTTAACCCCATGTCCCAAAACCCTGTGTGTTCTCATCCGTGAGGCTCCTGTACAGTGTCACCCCTGTTCCTCACTAACCCACAGGCACCCGTACCCAGGCTTCACGCGGTTCTGTTGTAAACATCTACCCCCCTCCCCGCAAGAAGTACTGCTGCTCACCCTCCTCACTGTGGGAGCTCAGCTCCACGGCGGCACCTGGTCTGCACCCATCCCAGGGCACACAGGGCGCTGGAGTCAAAAATCTCTCCTCAAGGAATAAGTAAGACTGGACGGCACTCCCCCTACACACACCTGCAGGGCACTTCTGGCCCTTCCAAGTCCCTGCTCCAATGTCAACACCCTGCCACTGTCTCAAAGCAGCACCCTGACCCGTGGGCAGAATCCCCCACCTGTTGCAGGTTTTTCTATCACCTTCGGAGGAACTATGAAATTGACTGACACAGGAAGCAAGCTCCAGGGGGGCGGGACTCCTCAGCCCTTTGCTCAAGGTATCCCGGGGTTCAGGACACTGTTCCACTCAGCAGACACTCAGTGAGCACCTGTCCAGTGAAAGCATGATGTCAGCAGCACCCCAAGAAGGGGCACAGCCCGGCATCTGGGGAAGAAGAGATCTGGGCCAAGTGGGAACGCAGCAGTTCGCATACTGCTCTGGGCTGGGTTTGTTTTGACAGAGGGGAAGGTGGAAGTGGGCAGGGGGACAGAGTGCAGACACCCTGGGAAAGGCCACATGACCTCACGGAGCACGGGGCTGGGGACAAGGGGCAAGGACGTGTGTGGAGCAGCAGTGGGGCCACCAAGGGTAGACCTGGGAAGGTGACCAGCCTCACACTAACTACAGGCAGTGAAGCCAAAGGGCTGAGTAGCAGGACGAGCCCTCAGAAATCCCTCTGTTCCCCAAATTTTAACTTACTGGAACAGAAACCCTGAAAGGCGGCTATATCGGCATGGGCCACATGAGCCCCACGTCCTCCTGAGCTCCCCTCCTAAGGGAAGCGCACGTGCAAGTAGCGGCCTTTAGATTATGAAGCAAAACTGGGAATTATGCAAATGAGGTGCGTGCAGGCACGTGATGAATGTTAAGTGACAGAACTACAGGGACCTAATTGCTGCATCAGCCAGTATGAAAACACTGATCACAGGCGTCAAACAGTGCAGGCAGGGACTTGTATCCCAGCTGTCCCAGCGACAACGTGGACTCTCCCCACTGCGGCCACACACGCCGGCTCAGCCACAGGGACGGGGAGCGTGACACCAGTGTCACTGCCCATCCAACTATCCTACCCACCAGGCAAATGTTAAGTGTTTCCCTAGCTTTGGTTCCATGTTTCTGAAATTGTTAATTAAAAAGAACCACACTCATGATTTCTCACAGAGCTCATTCTTGCAGAGCTGCTGCCATGCCTGTGGGGGGGACAGGTCAGAGGCAGCGACGGGGCGGAAGGGCACGTTCCGGGCTGCAGTGCAGGTTAGCTCTCCGTAAACACGAGCCGGTTTCTCGTTTCCTCACCAAGGTGGCCCAGCCACCGTCAGGGAGGAGTGGTGCTCATCCACAGACCACCGGCTGGGTCACTGACAAAGCGTCAACATGTCGGCGGGGCAAGTCCTCAGGTCCCCAGGCCTGGAAATAGGTTCACATTCAAGTACAGCTCTGGTTGTCTGTCTTTGTAAACTGGACAAATGGTAAGTCTCCTCGATCCTGGGTTCAGTGCTAAAGCTCGTGGTCCTAGAAGCAGAGTGGGCTGGGACCAATCACCCCCTCCCATGAGCCCCTGGGACAGTAAGCTGCACCCAGCTGCCCCCTTGCCAAGTAGCTCAGCCCAGGCGCAGTGCCTCCACCGGCCTCTCTCCCAGCTGGCTGCTGTGGGCCCTGGCCTGTCCCACGTGCAGCCTGAGTGTCCTAGAGCAGTGGTCCCCAACCCTGGGCACCCGTGGAAATCCCTCAGGAACCCCAGTATCAGTATTTCCCAAGCTCCCCAGGTGACACGACCATGCACCCAGAACGGAAAGCCAGGTCAAGGGGACAGCTAGAAGCTGCCGCATCTTTGCTGCTCCCTGTCCCCTCCCAGCCCTGGGTAGGCGCTCAGCAAACAGTGATAACAGGCTCTGCCCACCACCCTCCCTCCCATTGAACCAGCAAAGGGGCACCTAGGGCATCTCCCCTCTACTCCTCTGTCTGAGGCCCAGATGGCCCCTTTTCCAAGTCGATCCCAGGGCAGCATATAGAGGATCCGACTACGGCCGGCAGAGACAGGCACCAAAGGAACAAGAGCAGGACACGGTCACCAGACGACCCGCCCACCGACACAGACCCTCAATAATCACAACCTGCATGCAGGTGCCTAACCATAGGGCCATTTCACCAGCACTCCCACAGTTCACTCTGAAAAGCTTGTAACCCATCTCAGAGGGCTTCTGAAAAACTGGAAACACTTAAAACAAACAAAAATACAAGCAATTGCAGCACATCTAATTTTAATGGCAAGAGAGTATCTAATCAATAAATATTCGCTGTTCAAAACTGCATCTGCACTTAGGATTACGAGGTACTAAGCTGCAAATTGATTAAGACTCATTAGCAAGAAAAAGTCTTTTAAATTCTAAAAGTCAGGCCCAATTTAGAGCAAACCCTTAGTGTTCCCTACTGACTGGGCTCCACAAGAAAGGGAGAGGAAGCTGCCCACGACCGCGGGAGTGCCAGCAGGGCGCGCTCACAGCCATGTAAGCCCCGGCGAGCACGCGAGGCTGGACTGACGCCCGCCACCACCTGCCACCCGGCCGGCTCCACAGGCTCCAAGACAGGCAGCTCCATGCAAGGGGCGAGGAAGCCAGAAGCCTGCCCTCATTGCAGAATCCAACTATTCCTAGCATCAGCTCGTTCCCCTAACATCAGGACTGATATTAAAAAGAAAGCATGTCAAACATGGTCCTTGCCCTGATCCCTCAGCGGACGTAATCTTTTGCGCTGGACCCTTTCTATCCCGGGTTTGAAAATCTTAGGAAGATTTTTTAAAAACAATGAAATCAGAGAAAAAAATAGAACTGCCATAAATTATGACTTATTTTCTGCCAGCCCTGTCAACCAAGCTTGTAATGAAGCAAAGGATGGAAAACGTCATCTTACCCTGCAACAATACCGGTGCTGTCTGGAGTGACAGCCACACTTCCAGCCAGACAAGGGGGCCCGTCCTCACCAGGGGACAGACGAGGGGACCCGTCCTCACCAGGGGACAGGTGAGGGGGCCTGTCCTTACAGAGACAGACGAGGGACCCGACCCCACAGGAGGAAGGTGATGAGCAGACCCATGTGGACGAGACACTTACTGAGAGCAGCTTCCACGTCATCGGACGGACCGGCTTAGGGATCCCAGACCAGCTCAGCTTCCGCAATTCTTCTGTTGGCAAAGAAGAGACAAGGGAAATGTTTACACACCGTTAGCCGAACCCCGTGTGCTAGCATCTCCCACCAGTGCTCCCAGAGCAGGGGGCCCCGAGATGAATCCAGGTGAACCCAAATGACAAAGGTCTCAGGTGCTGACGCTGACCGGATCTGGGAGCAGTTCCCACCGATCCCAGCAGCACTCAGCATCGCCTGTTCCCACGGACCCTCAGGGAGGACGTCCGTAAAGACACCCAGTGTCCCAGCTCCACCCGACAGGCGAGACCAGAGGGTACTGGTGCCTCCCCGCTTCCCTCCTTCCCTCCCGCTGCCTTCTCCCCAACTTGACGCCTAGAAGAGGCTCTTCCCCCCTTTCATCCTGCCCCCTCTGCATTTCCTGTTGAAGAATGCTGCAGGAGGTCCTTTTCCCAGGACTGGTTTTGAGAGGAACTGTGCCGTGGAGAGACACGTGAGTGTACACAGCGCTGACGGGGTGGGGCCCGTAACACACACCACGGACCACAAAGCCTGCAGGCACACTGACTACACAAGTCAGTGTAGTCTGTACAAACACCTACCGGGGGCCCAGACACGGAGGGGCGGGGCTGGCCTCCAGGGGCAGGAGAGGGCGCAGCAGGGGGTGGAGGGGCAAGGGTAGGAGCCCTGGATGCTGTCAGGCCTCCCATGAGTCCTGAGTGTCCCAGGCACATGCCCGGAGCGGCTGGAAAGTACACTTCAACCTGCAGGCGTATCGGCGCTCGGTCAGTCCCACCGAAACTGACCGAGTATTTCTCCCCTTTGAGTCAGGGCCACCATGAGGTTCTCCTAACAGCCTGGGGGTGATGATTAACACTAGGAGCAAAAAAATGATTAAAGAGCAACTTCGGTAATATAATCAACAAAACACACAGTCCTGGCATCTCAGCTTTTCCCAATTACTAGAGTCCAAGCTAAATGAGTAAGGAATGTTTGGGCCATGGTTCCAGCAATAACCCACATTTCACAGCCATCTCAGAAAAACCGCATCTCCCCAGTTCCCTGGGACATCAGGAAAAGCAGGACCTCCTGTGGGGCACCCTCAAGCTCCTGGTGCCTGTCCCCTGCCAGAGACTGGCTTTCTGAGCCTGTCTGTGAAGATCGGCAGGGAATCTCAGGTTTAAGGTCCCTGGAGCTCTCTCCTTGGGGAAGGGCCCCACAGGCTGGGGTCCTGGACACAGTGAGAGGTGGGTCTGACTCAGCTTTACTGCTGGAAGGAGCAGAGTCAGTGAGGGCCGTGGCCCTGCTGCGTCAATGAGGAGGCCACTGGACCAGGTGGCTCAGGGGCTCAGGGACCTGCTACCCCAGGTCTGTCCACTCTATTAACCACCATTATTAAATAGGGGTTGTACCACAGACCAAGCTCACCTACAAATACGAACAAAGGGAATCCTGCAGCTTCCCTGGGTGCTGAACTGGCTGATGGGAAAAGCCATGGGGCCACCTCATAGTGGTCAGGTGTAGACTCCACCCAAGGCCCACTCACCCCTAAACCCTGCAACCAGAATTCTGGCTGTGCACACCGCCCCCCAGAATCCCTGAGAGGAAGGGGAGTCAGCCCAGCAAACGCTGGACCCACCCACCCCACTCCAAAGGTGGGCCTGATTGGTTGGTGTAGAGCTAAGCCCCGCCCTCGCTAGTGACTAATTAGGCAGCGGTTTGAGTGGCTGAGAAGAGAGGTCAACTGCCGGGGCTTCTGAGAAAGCCCTCCTGGCTCCTGGGACACCTAGAGGCAACCCTGCCGGCCTTGGGTCAGGCTGCTACAGCCATCAGGGACCAGGCCCGCCTCGGGGTGCAGCCAACCAAGAGGGGCAGCAGGCCCGGCAGACAGCGGGACCCAGGGCTCCGAGTTCAGCAGGACAGCCAGACACAAGACCATTCGAAATCAATAGCTCTTCTCTGCCAGCCACATAAGTAAGGAGGAAACGTCACAGGCACGAGCTTAACAAGAAACGGACACCAGCAAGAGGGAGAGAACAGGCTTTACCTAGAGACCGACAGAAACAGGAGAGCGCCGATCCCCCGGCAGCGCGGGTTCAGGAGCACTGTGCGGCCGGCACCGGGCTGGCCGGAGGGCCACACAGTGAGCACACGGCTCTGGGCTCAGGGGACCCACCTTGTGTCCTTGTGCACAAAGGACACGGCAGGGTACAGACACGACTGTGTGCCCGCAGGGACAGGTGGGAGCACAGAGGAACCGCGTGGGGGTTTCCTGGGTAGCGGCGTCCGTGAGGAAGCTGACCATCGAGGTAAGACCAGCAGCTGAGGAGAAGTGAGCTGAGGTGGGGGAGGGAGGGGGGTGTCCCAGCCTAGGACGCAGCTTAGGCAAAGTCCTGACCACAGTGCAGAGATCACAGGGGCCCAGAGGTCTCAAGGAGCCCACTTAATGGGCCACGCACAAAGCCCAGTGCAGCGGGGACGGTGGCTGGGTGGTGACAGTGGAGGGTGCACACAGACCAGAGAGACATGGAGGCTATAAAAGCAACGACATATCCAAGATCTAAGACTCAAAATTATAAAGCTGTTGACTGTCGCTTAAAAAACTCTCTTATTCCATGCAAAGCCAACCAAAATCCCAATGGGACGTACTGTGTGTTCTGAGACTTGGGAAGCTGACCCTACGTTCACCTGGAAGACTAAAGGCGTAAGAGCAGCCAATAAAATTTCCAAGAAGGGGCATGTGAAGGGACAGAGCCGAGTAATGAAGACAAGGGGATTCCAAGACAAGACTAAGGCAACGGGCTCAGAAACAGAATGGGAGTTCAAACCGAGCCTTTGTTTGGTTATGAAAACAGTATTTTACATCAAGGGCCCGTCAACCAATGACATCCAAACAATTTCCAGATGATTAAAAATTAAAAGATCAAAAGTGTGTGTGTGTGTGTGTGTGTGTGTGTGTGAAGGAAAATAGAAAATACTACAAGAAAATGTAGGAGAATGTTTCGATATTCTCAGATGGAGGAAAGAGTCCGAAGCAAGACACAAATCTCAGCAATGATAAATAAGAAGATTCACAAGTTAACTCAATGAAGTCTGAAACAACAGGACAGTCACAGACAGGATAACGTTAAAGACAAACGACAGACACACAACGTAAAAAGGTCAGTGTGACTAATGTATAAACGTACAAAACTGAGAGACCGATTTACAAGGAAATAAAAACTCAGAGGAGGAAACAGAAATGGCTAAGAAATGGCTAAGAAACACACAAAAATAGACACATCACCTCAATGGCGATCAAAGAATGGCAAATTAAAACAAGAAACCTGTCGCAGACGGGACGCCGTGTTGAGCGTGTGACGCCCGCAGGGTGAGGCCCGGCGAGCACTGGTACAACGTCTCACCGACGTCCACGTGCAGAAACCTGTCCCACAGGGCATTTCCAGGGGTGCCCAGCTTTATGCACAGGATGTCCATCTAGTACGGCCACCTAGCCAGCCCCACAGGAGGGCCCTAAACTTAGCCCTGCAGTATTGCTGAGCTGAGTGTAGAACGGGGCTTGGGGGAGCCGAGACGGACTGTGAGTGCCCGTAGCACTGGAGCCAACCCACCCAAGAGCCTCTCGGGGCTGTGCCCGGGCATCTGTCTCCTCTCTAGGAGCAGTCAGAGCCCCTGGAGGTCAGATCCCAGGTCCCTATTTCCTGTCCATCCAAACAGGGTCTTACAACCGTGTGTGGTGGCAAGTGCTGGAGAAGACAAAGTTCAGCTCTTTCCTCCGCCCCTTTGGAGGTGGGTGGGGGCTTGGGGGGGTGTATTTTTACAATAAACGAACAGCTATGCCTCCCCCATACTGGACGTGGAACACCTCCATCGCCCGTTCCCAGCGACTCCCTGCCTTGCTCTGACATCTCACGAGCAGCGCGCCGGGTGGAAGCACCGCCCCGCTTCTGCTGCCCGCCACGTCTGTCACACAGGACGCCGGTGCCAGCAGCTCATTCTTCCAAGCAGGACAAGTGCTCTGCGGTGCACCACAATCTGCTTACACATGCACCTGCCCACAGGCGTCTGGGTCAGTCACAAGCTCTCGCTACCAAAAAGGGCTGCTGTGAACACTCTCATAGGTAAGTCCTGTGGGCACGTTTTCATTTCTACTCGGCAAGTACGGAGGAGGGGAGGTGCTGGGCCAGGAGCTGATCACGGTCACCTCCACTAAACGCTGCCACAGGGCTCTTCAGAGTGGCCGCGCCATCTCCCAGCGCCCGCAGCAATGCTAAGCGGTCCGCGTGCTCCACGTGGCCCTGGTCACATTCCGGGCCCAGTCTTCAACCTCAGCCATGCTAGTAAGTGCTAAACGGCGTCTCTCGTGACTGTAATTAGCAAGTCCGTGCTGACTAGTTCCACCCACTTCATGAAGTTCACACTGAGCTCTCACCCACCCTCTCACTCGGTCACTCACGTGTCACTACTGACTCACGCGTCCGTTTCTAATGATGGGTTTTGCTCCTGACTCTGAGTCGCGTTCTGCTGTGTGCCTGTCTTTTTCCCTGAACGTCAGACGTGCTGGTTTCTGGTCTGTTGCCTCTGCGATGACGGGAGCTCTGGGGATTGTTCCACCTGCGGCTTTCTGGAGTCTTTCCCCTGCTACGCACTTCCCCGCTCGGGAGCACAGGGCATGCCACCAGGACCGGACAGGACCCCTGGGTCGACCCGCCTGCTCTCCTCTCCCACGCCCTGCTCCACAGTCAGTCTACGCCTCTCAAGCCCCTTTCTGGACTCAGCTCAGCGAGGCCGCCAGATTAAGTTTAGGGACTGAAAACTGTCTCTGACTATAACTGGGAACAGAGGTCGGGTTCACCTGCCCATGGCCCCCCACCCCCACCCCCGGGGTCACGGGCCTGCACTGCCTGTCGTCCAGGCCTGAGAGCAGCTGCCTCACATACCTGGTCTGGTCTCTGCTTCTTTACAGCAGGAGAGCAATTCCTGGGGCATTTAATCCTTCGTGGTCCAAGCAAAAGTCGGCTCACCTACTTTTAAAGAATT